CCCTCAAAGATGATATCAAAGGACTCTGTTAGACTCTGGGGTCCAGTGATCACCCTGTCAGCAGGTGACTCTCCCAAAGGGGTCATCAAAGGAACCTATTAGATTCTGGGGTCCAGTGATCACCCTGACAGCAACTGACTCCCCCAAAGATGATATCAAAGGACTCTGTTAGACTCTGGGGTCCAGTGATCACCCTGTCAGCAGGTGACTCTCCCAAAGGGGTCATCAAAGGAACCTATTAGACTCTGGGGTCCAGTGATCACCCTGACAGCAACTGACTCCCCCAAAGATGATATCAAAGGACTCTGTTAGACTCCGGGGTCCAGTGATCACCCTGTCAGCAGGTGACTCTCCCAAAGGGGACATCAAAGGAGTCTCTGGGGTCCAGTGATCACCCTGACAGCAACTGACTCTCCCAAAGATGATATCAAAGGACTCTGTTAGACTCTGGGGTCCAGTGATCACCCTGTCAGCAGGTGACTCTCCCAAAGGGGACATCAAAGGAGTCTCTGGGGTCCAGTGATCACCCTGACAGCAACTGACTCCCCCAAAGATGATATCAAAAGACTCTTCCAGGATTTCACCTTAGGGCCATCATTGGTTGACAGCTTAATTCAGGGAAAACAGCTGTAATGACAAAAACAGCTACTAGCAGTTTTTGGGTCAGTAAACACAAACAAAGTTGCTTTTTTAATTTTTTGGAAAATTCAAACCATCGGGATAGTGGTACTCAATTTAATAATTTAGTTGCTGGTAAATATTTGTACTGTAAACAGCACAGGTAGTTCTGTAAACCCACATACAAATTATTCAAGAATGACCGAAACAAAATTGCTGGATTTCTTTGAGCTGTCTCCATTTCTTGGGAGAAGGCTGCTAATTATACAGCCTTGTGTGTACTGTGAAATGTGACCTTTTATTGTAGACTATAAACACAGTATTTCTTTTTTGTAAATGTAGAGTTTTGGTAGATGTAGAGTCTGTTTGAGTCTTCATTTCAGCTGCATATTTTGCACACAGCTTGGTTCAAATATCCATTAATAGAATGATACCTGGGGCAATTTACACACTGGGCAGATCTACAGTATTTACTTAAGGAGTGTCGTGCACATGTAGCGCCTGACCTGAGAGATATGATGCAGCCCTTTGAAACAGGCTCAATATTAGTATTAAGTAATTTCTTAAATCATACAGTGAAATCTTGGTATCCTTTACAGCCTTAATGGATTTCAGGATGATTCTTTATGGAGATTTTGTAAAAAGTAGGATGATGAAAGTATAACAGAAATCTTTGCTATATTTGTTACTTCACAGTATTAAATAGTGTGTTGAGGGTAAAAAGGGTAATGTATAGAAATTTTATTTATTGTGACAGTTAAGTTGCAAAAACATCTGTCTGGATTCTGTAAATCAATCTAAGTGTAAATTTTAGTTTTTATTGTATACCTGACTTGCAGTCAAGCTTGTTACATGACCTGATTGCTGTCTTGCTTTTTGTCTGCCACCTGATCTTTTGATCCATACTGTTACTTTTCCTTCCTCTGTATGATTTCTGACCTCTTAATTGACCTCTCAAATCCCCCTTCAGGAGAATGAGAGCCTACGATTCCTGAGTCGAGAGGAGAGGGAGTGCATCAGGTTTTTGGAGGAGACCATCGACTCACTGGATGAAGATCTGGATGAACCAGATGAAAAGCGTTTGTCAGGGAGTGCCAACCCAGCAGTACACCGCCCCATCACAGCTGCTACAGTAATGATGTCAGGACGATCTGTCAATCCCAAGGATCAAGACATTATTGACCTGGTCCAAAAGCAGCCCAAGGAAGCCCTGTACAGCTCCATCCAGCAAGGTACCAGAACTTTAATCATTCAGTAGTTGGGTTAGTAACACTGAGGAGAACTTTGTAATAGCTATAAAAGGTACACATTTTGAGGGGGCACAGTGGCAGCATGGTTAACACTGTTGCTCACACCTCTGGGACCGGGGTTCAAGTCTGTGCCATGGCTCTATGTGGAGTTTGCATGTTCCCCCCATGTCATCATGGAGTTTCCTTCATGTACCCCACTCCACCCCCCCCCCCCCAATCCAAAAACATTGCTGAGGCTAATTGGAATTGCCAAATTGCCCATAGGTGTGCCTGTGTGCATGAATGGTGTGTGAGTGTGCCCTGCGATGGCTTGGTACCCCATCCTGGGTTGTTCCCTGTCTTGCCCCCATAGGCTCCAGATCCCCCACAATTCTGAATAGGATAAGAGTTACAGATGGTGGATGGATGTAACCATTTTTTCTTGACTGTATATTACATTTTGTGTGTGGCACTTATCTTTCCAATAAGACCAAGGTAAATGAATCAGGTAATTCTGCATCTGTTTTATATATATAACTTTTTTCACAGATTTTCGCAGTATGACTCACCCGGAGACTCATTTTGAAATGAAGGCAAAACCAGACCCCTTGGGAAACCTTCCCTATGATTTAAAACTTCCACCCACTGTGACCCCCTCAGCAGCTAATAACAACCCCAGTGCTACCAGCCAGCCACAGTACCAGCCTGCTGGTTTTGTCCCCACCCCGGTCATCATCGCTCAGAAGCTTGCGGCCCATCAGAGAGCCGCGGGCATCAGCTTGCCTTCTAGCATCCTCTCCAATTCCCGCCGAAGCTTGGACTCCAACCCCCAGGACCACGCATCCACCGCAGCCAAGCCCAGCCATTACCCAGACAATATAAGTGTCATCATGGGAAGCAAGCATAATGACGCCCTGCCACCTATTAATGTCCAGGAGCGAAAGGCCCAGGTTCTGACCCACCTTACAGGCCCACTTCAGCTGGAGGACACAGGCACGAAAAACACTCCAATCCGAAGTTCCTCCTATCGGGATCCAACTCAGGATAGAACCAGAATGGAGGCTCTCTCCAAGCTGGGCCTTAATGCAAACCAGCCCTCATCTAGTAGCTACTACAGGGCTGTCAACAAAAACAAGGCAAACTCCTCACTGACCAGCAGTTATGCCGAAAAGTCTCCACTCTCTTTAGCCTCCAGTGCAAGGACAACCCCTTCTGCCACTGATTTCAATAACTATGGGGACAAAAGCAAGTCACCAAAAACCAGGTCTTCCAGTATGCTGGAATCCCGTGGCAATGTTAATGCTACACCTGACAGTGTGCCTCCCTTAACTGACTTCAACCATTATGGAGGTAAGACCAAAATCATGAGCCTGGTGTCATCCGTGAAGAGCAACACTGCTGCCAACCACCCCATTAGCCATGAAAACAGGTCTAGCATGGCACCTCCACCCTCAGGTGCAGAGGTATCAACCAACAGTTTTGGTGGCAAAAGTAGATTCATGGCTCCACCTACATCTTCGAAGACTGAGCCTGCTGCCAGTGAGGCTATTAAGTATGATGCCAGGTTGCCCAAACCTAGTGCTGGAGCTAATAACATTGGTATCACAAGCAACAGTTATGGTGGCAAAAGCAAAGTCATGAATCCCTTGATGTCAACACCAGTTGTACCTGAGGTTCTATTGAGTGACAGTTATGGTGCAAAAAGCAAAGCTGTGAGCCCTGCAGTGATCTCCATCAACAGGCCCGAGGTATCTGCCAGCAACCTAAACCAGAATGTCCCCATTACCACTCCCAGACCAGCATATGCTCTGCCTAATGCTTCTCTGGGTCCACTGGCAAGCCGACCAGAACCTGTGCCATCTGATGTCACTGGGCTGTCGCACCAAAGCAGTGGGGATGGTGCCACCGCTGGAGCACCCCCATCTCAGGCAGAACGACGGCTGTCCTTCTCCAAGCCCGCGGCACAACTGCGCCCCCAGGGCATCACGGTGCAGTTCACAGGACGTGGGCCCACAGATCAATCCCGCAAGGATGCCCTGCGTGTACTGGGGCTGCTTAAGAAAGGGTCGGGGTACTCTTCCTGAGATGATCTTACTGGTTGTTAGTCCATCCTTTCCCCTTCAATAACATCTCAATACTAAATTCTCGCTTTTGCAGTCGTATCTATCTCATTCCCCCCAGAGCTTGAACAAACTTAGACAGTAGGATGTGACGGCCATCCAATCGGAATGGGAAGTGAAGGAGAAAGAAATACATTATGAATAACAAGACAAGGCATTAATGTTCAGACAAGAAGTAATTAGCACCAAGATCAAACACTTACTGTGTGTGCCTGGAAGCCATTAAAACAGCTTAAATCACAACCATCATATATTGGTAGAGCATATGTTGGTTAATTCCTGAAGAGGGCTGGCCTCTGTGTTGAGTTCTGCATTGAAAGTTAGTCCGTCATTTGTTTTGCAAGTTTTGATGGGTGGAATAACTGGTTACAGGTATAAAAAAAATCAGTTACATGCAGTGCCATCATAATGTCAAGGTGTGAACTATATGTCATGTCTTATGTCAAACATGGGTGTAACTTCTGTAAGATTACACTGTTTTTCTCCTCTAGCAACATGGTGTGAAGGATATCGATCTTGTGTGTCAGCTCACGCTGGAAAAAAAATGTGTTTACAGAGTTGACAGAAGAGAGAAATGTGTAGCAGTGAAAACTATAGAATTTATTTATGATTTGTTTCCATATTTAGATCAATATTTATGAACTTAATTATGTAGAGTTCAACTGTTCTACTTAAAGATTTTATTTGCTTGATTTTTTATGTTTTCTAACAGATGTGTAAATGTAAAAAAAAAAAAAAAAAACACCAGAAAGTTTAAAAGCCAGTTTAATTGCACATATTGAGCCAGTTTTGGGTATGACATGGTCTCACCGTTCTCTGTATGGTTGTTGGTTCAAATGAAATCCCTGCTGTATGTTTGCATGCTCCTATATAATTGTGGGTTTTCTCCTGCTACGTGTATCATGCATGTGTCCTATGAATTACTGGTATTACTGGTAAGCTGTGCCCCACTTAAAGCCCCCCAGCCACCTCCTGCATCTTCCGACCCTAATTTTAAAGGTATTATTGTCATTGTAAATTAATGTTTTAACAGTATGTATTGGTGTATATGGCATACATTTATGCTGTATTCAAAGGGCTGGGTATTTAATGCTCATGTACACTACATAATGACCAAATTCAAGAAACAACATGAGTTCTTCTCTTCGGTAATGATGTTTAAGTTTAACCACACTGCTGGCAAAATAATATATTTAAGTCCGATTTAATCTCCACCCATTAAAGCCACAAACTTGTATTAAACGCTTGACTCTGGACACTATAAAGAGAGGTTTAGTAATTTTAGATTTATAGCATTTTTTCACTTCTAAAGGAACATTTATTTTCTCACTTTTTATATTTATTTGTCAGCAGTGTATACAGCCTCTTTAACATTAGCAAAAGCGGCATCGGTATGTGATCACAACTGTGTGATTGCCATACAACTGAGGTGCCTCATGTTTAACATCTGAGGTGCCAGCGAGACACTGCACCCGATTTTGTTCTCTTCTAGCTATGCTATTAGAGGCTTGGTGGCGACATGTGTCAGAGAGCGGCAGACTTAGCGTGTGAGTATGTTTCTATTCAAATAGCTCTTAGCCCTGATTCTGATTGGCTGTTTGAAGTATTTCATCCTGATGGACCCCACTTGCAGAAGCGTCATTCTTCAGGTTCTGCTTATCCGGAGAAGACATCGCCCTTCATTTGTCCACTGCTCAGACAGCCATCTGTGTGGATGCTGAGAGGGCATGGGCTGTAGACCACCTCACTGAGAAAGCTTCACAAATGCTCCACAGAGTCCTTCACAGCCACTGGGTATAGGTCATGTGTGTTACTACATTTGAGGAGAGTCAGCTGTTTTATTGTATCCATTATGTCCCATTCATGTTAGGTATGAAAAGAAAAATAAAAACATTATATATCCAAAAACACTTCATCCCTTGTTAAATTGGTAGACTGGCGCTTGTCCACTGCCACCAAGTCATACCCGAGTCATACCGGGAACTGGCGGTTTTCCATTGTGAATTATATGAGCCGGACTAGCGCTGACATGGCTGTTTACTAGCACGGCTGAAAACATGACTAAACCGAACTGGCTGTGTCACCATAAGCTAATTGGTTAAAATGTACAGCGAAATCCGGAGTCCTGTGTCGATATGCATGGATTATCTGAAGGAACAAAGGGCATATGCTACATATTATTCATTATTAGTAGAATTGCACAGCACGATGTACTGATGTATTCCCGATAACTCTGAACTTGAAAATTTCCAACCTCCTTCTTAAAAAAGTGTTAAAGAGCAACTGAACGGAATGGATCTGTAATGAAAAATTTCTCAAGATAATGCTAATTCTGCTAGCTTTTGATGCTAACAACACAGCAATTCTCACAGATGTGTTAGTGGAAATTAGTGACTGTGAAGCGAGGTCTGGTCTGACCTCCTTGGTGCTCTACCACTGTTATCCTCATCAGTGAAAATGCTTTGTGAATAGATGGATGGATGAATATCAGGATAAGGCATTTGTAAAGGTCATTTCCCCATCATGGCTGACACAGTGTTTATAATGTATTGCTGTTATTGAGTAGTGTTATGTGTACCCACTTCATCCTCCTCAAAAATGATAAACTTGGCTGCATTTCCTGTACCGAATGGTGAACTAGGAGTCAAGCTGAAGATTTAACCGTGCAGCTCAAAGCTGAAGTGTAGGTCAACTTTTGCTGACCCTGCACCAGGGTTAAATCCAGGCAACTTGTGCTTTAGGGGTCTGAACCTTAGCTAATGCTAGTGGGTGGAATGAGAAGAAGGCCACCTATTTGACGCCTCATCGATGATGGGATCAACCTGGTACCAGAAGCCACTCCCTGCAGAGATCAAAAGGACCCACTGTCATTCCCTGAGTGCAAGACCGTGCAACATTACATTCTGTGTGTTTTGGACCAGGAATTTATTCGGCTCTCAACCTCGCCTGCAAGAGGTCAGCGTCTGTTTTTCTCAATCCACAGTATTGACTGCTATGGATCGAATGAGGTAACCATATCATTGCCCTACTCCCCTGGTTTCAGCTGGTCTGGAACAATTAAGGGGAGCAAGATATTATACACTAAATTGGACCTGCAGAGTTCGTGTAACCTCTTTGGGATCCGCGATGGAGACGGCATTTCACACATATAATGGCTACTATGAATATTTGACTATGCTTTACAGTTTGGTAAATGTACCCTTCACAATTATTGGCACCTTTTGTAAAGATTTGCAAAAAGTGTTAGAAAAAAAATCCACCTTTTGGTGAAGTAGTTTCAGCTCCAACTGAAAAAAATGAGAAAAATCCAACCTTTCATTAAAATAAATTTATTGAAAGAAAAACAAATCCTTCATCAAGAAATAATTATTTTCAACAAAAACACATCACGCAGGGTCTATTTCATGGACTCCATAATGCCATGTACCCTAAATAGGCTTCTTTTTTTTGGAGACGTGGTACCCCCAAGATTTTACTTGGTCTTGTAATTCACTGACAGTGATCCTTGAAGATGTTTTTTTTTACCTCACGATCCTCCTCATTGTATGTGGGCACCACCCTTACAGTGATAAAAAAGAAATTCACTGAAGCAAAACATTTTCTAGATCTTTGTAATACTAGTACTAATACTTCAAAATATTTCTTATCACCTTTTATTTGGCAGTTTATTGGGTAGTTATGGAATATGATGTATGTTTAAACCCACCCAGTGAAGCATGCTCATGCTCATTCTCAACACACAATTAACCATTCAGAACAGAGTTCAGCCATCAGGAAAGATGAAATCACTTATTTGCTAATTTTCCTTTTTGGTTTGTGGACAAGAAACTGGTATACTTTAAGCGAAAGAGCGAAAAATTAAAAATACTTTCATTTATTAAATAAGAACATTACATTTTTATTTTTATTGTGCAAAAAGAACATCAGTTCAGTTGTACAATTAAGTATTTTGGGAAATGTGAGGAGTAGAAGTTGCACCCACCCCATATATTATATGATAGTCCTGTATTTGAACCAAAATGGGAGGCTATTTGTCCCATATTGGCAGAGCATGCGATCACTTTCACTACACAATTGAAGACTCTGGAACCAGGTTAAATAAGTCTACGTTTGACTGAAATTGACAATCAATGGAAAATGTTTAGGACTACAATGTCAAGAATATTTAAAAATCTAACATCTAGCTATCATGAGCAGTCCAATGGACAGACAAAGCATGTCAATAAACAGTATAGTTTCTGCTCCTGTGGTAATTCTCACTGGAATGGGTGATGTACAGCGCTGTCCAGAGTCTTAGGCAGCCAAAGAAAATGGTGTTTAAATGATCTTTATGTTGGTGTGCTGTGCCATTATGGCAGTCAAAGTGTGTCAGCTTAGCCATTTCAAAACCTCTGCTAAAATCACCCCATTATTTTCAGCAACCATACAAATACACCCATGCATTTTTTCACTCGACCACTATAGCTAATCAGTATCTTATTGACTTTTTAAACCAATTAAGATAATTAATTAGGTGAGCTGGCGGTGAAATTTAATAAATACATGGAATGGCTGGGGTGCCCCTGATGAGAGGTTTGGGAACTGAAGTGGTGTTCATCTAGCCATCCAACATGATATCAGTAACTTTTTGGAGAACGGAAGAAATTCTTGCTGGTTTATATTGTGTTAGTCTTAATTTGCTTAATTTTTGTGTTCTAATGTTAAATTGTGTTTTTGTTATGAGCAAATGTGCACTTACTACCCAGATAAATAGCTTTAAGCATTTCGTTTGACAGCCTAATACTTTTGTACAGTCCTGTAGGTTCCTGTCATGAGCTGAGTATGCTCAGAATTCTCTCATAAAGAGTCTACTAACCTGACCCCGTTTCAGGGCATTTTAGGACAACAGCCTCTCCTGTTCCTGCTCCACAGTATCAACTGGGTTAAAAGGTGATATATGCCTGATGTATGCTATATGGAATAGGCCTTTGACTTCCCTCAAGAAAGCTGAGCTCACGATATGTAGGTCCTTTCTCAGTCATTACGCAAATTAACACAGTCTCATATTGTCTCCAGCTACCACCCCAGTACAAAATCAAACTGTCTCCCTATTAGATCCCCCCTCTCCTCAGCCTGCTCCACCACCTCCTCTGATGCTAGGTGATGGACCTTCATATATGACACCTGCTTAGCAAAGATTTTTTAAATCAAAATGTTGTCGTCAATGCTGCCCCCCATTGACCCTATGCTAGATTTGCAGTTGGAAATGCATAGATAGAAAAAAATAAAACTGAAGCATCCCATGTCACATCTCCTTGAATGAGAGTGTGTCTCCTTCTGTTTTGTGAATGGGAATCATGTGACACAATAGTCAGTGCGCAACTGTCTTCTGCTGAGTAGCTAACAGAAGCAGTGGCCTGTACTACGAAGCGGGGTTACTGGCTTATCGGGGTAATTTGTCGGATTTAAGGTAGTCTGGGCAAAACGTAAGTGAACGAATATGAAGTTCATTTAAACTGCGGTACCTTAAATCCGACAAGTTACCCCAATAAGCCAGTAACCCCGCTTTGTAGTACAGGCCACAGGTGACACAGAGTTCTGTTGACAGGTGACCAGTCTGCTTACAATATTTTCCTTTTCTGGGCTTATATGGGGATGGGTGGCGTTGGACTAGCATGACACATGTCAAAATACCACAGCAATTAAACAAGCGCATTAACAACAAAGAAAAAAATAAACATAGGAATGATTTGTCAGGACTAGCAACTACATGGGAAGAGATTACTGGTCATTGGACTGGGATCAACTGGTATCCAGTTTATCGGGGCAAAAGACAATGGAACGCAAATATATACAGATATTACAGAGAACAGGAGACAGATTAGACTAATCAGCATGAATAACCACTTTTATTTACCTTCTTAATCCATATTATTCATAAAAATGCTGTTTCTGTCACTGCACTGGGAGTGACAAACACTGGGGTATTGGCTTGTAGACCATCCGTCCATTAAGAAGGCAAGTCAGTACAGATGCCTGTCGCATGACTTACCCGGATTAGGCTTGTTTTAGGGATGGTGCTCATGCATCGACGCAGGTTGAGTGAGTCTTTTGTGACTGAAGCAATCTGTCGCTCACGTGTGCCTTTGTGCCGTTGCCATGACAGCAACAGGTGTAGCTGGTTTCTTTTTAAAACGTCACTTTGACGCTTCCCTGCTCGGTAACCTTGAATTCCTTCAGATGATCTGTGCTCCCAGGAATTC